TGGATATTTAAAACTGTTCCTGCCCCTCTGAAACTCTTCTTGCATCTTTGAAACTGTTCCTGACCCTTGGGAACTGTTCCTGCCGGCACACACAGGTGTTTATATTTTTGGGAATGGGTATAAGGATGCCAAAGCCCTTCATCTCCCTCCCAAAAAAAAAAAAGAGAGGGGTGGAGAAACCTGCTCTCTAGCATAGGGTTTGATGAGTTATGGGAAGAAGGGAAGAATTACATCAGCAAAATGAAAATAAATGTCCTTTTGGAGAGCCCCTTGTCCTGCCGGGTCACTCGGGGGCACCCCCAGGACTTTAAATGGAAAGAGGGGAGATTTTGAGTAGATACTGGGAAGGAATTCATGGGTGGTAAGGCCCTGGCACAGGTTGCCCAGAGAAGCTGTGGCTGCCCCTGGATCCCTGGAAGTGTCCAAGGCTGGGTTGGATGGGGCTTGGAGCAACCTGGGACAGTGGAAGGTGTCCCTGCCCATGGCACTGGATGAGCTTTAAGGTCCCTCCCAGCCCAAACCATCCCGGGATTCCATGACAACAGACACCCAAACATCACCTCTGGGTGAAGAGAACCCCCTGTGAGCTTCACTGCCTCGTTTACCTCCCCTTTAGTCACCTGGTTGTGACTTCTGACTGCAGCCCTGAGCAGGGACACACCAAAACCAGGGGAAGCAAAAGGAAGCCCAAGGTCCTGCTCCAGCCCCTGCACTGACAGCGGGAAGGGGCAGAGAAGGATCCAGGGATAGAGCAGAATCCAGGGACAGGGACAGAGAAGGATCCAAGGAAGGGGCAGAGCAGGACCCAGGAAAGGGGCAGAGCAGGACCCAGGAAAGGGGCAGAGCAGGACCCAGGGACAGGGACAGAGAAGGATCTAGGGACAGGGACAGAGAAGGATCCAGGGACAGGGACAGAGCAGGATCCAGGGGCAGGGACAGAGCAGGATCCAGGGGCAGGGACAGAGCAGGATCCAAGGAAGGGGTAGAGCAAGACACAGGGACAGGAACAGAGTAGGATCCAGGGAAGGGGCAGAGTAGGATCCAGGGACAGGGATAGAGAAGGATCCAGGGATAGGGACAGAG